TAATTGAAAACTGTTGGGGGCGAAAAAAACTAAAACCTGGAGAGAGAAAAAACGGGTACCCGCGAGTCCACCCGTACCTGCATAGGGTAGGGTACGAGCCTTATTTTTTGGACTCGTATTGGACCTGTACCCGTGATGACCTGACCCCAACCCAGCCCACCCACCCGTTTTGCCAAGTCTACATATATCCTAAACACACTCCACAAATTCATTCATTTTACCTTACAAAAAATTTTGTTCAATCCAATTTTATTTTCTTAATTTTAATTTAGTCTAGTTTGTTAGTTATTTCTTTGTTTAGTATGTCAATGTTGTCCTATGATAGTTTAGTCTGTTAGTTCCGCAATTTTACAGTTTCGTCCCTTAGTCGGTTAGTCCTACTAAGTTTTGTTTTGCCAGTGTCGTTACTTTTCAGTTTATTCCTATGGGGGCATTTGGTTCAGGGAAGGTTGGATTACTGGGAATGTTAGATTACTAAAAAATTAGATTTCCTTGAAGATTAGTAGGAATCTTCAGGACAACGTGTTTGGTTAATTAGTGGGTATGTTATATTAATATGTTTGGTTGGGAGGAATAAATTGGTGGGTATGTTATTTAAATTACTGAATTGTCCTATAATTAAATATTATTATTATATTATTTTTTAATATTGATTATTATTTGGATTATTATAACCCTTCTACATTTAAAAACTTAGCAAAAACAACCACATAATAAAAGTTTGGAAAATCAAAAAAGCACCCTCACAAACCCAACCACTGTCGGTAGCCTAATGGCACACGGAAGGCAGGAAATGGCCTCCGTGCGTCGTATGACCATTTCCAACCAGTGATATGGCCGAAAATGGCTAGACTTGACAGATTTGGCTGTCGACAGCTAGATCGATGGATCTGGCTGACGACCATATCTGGCACAATTTGGCCATTTTTGGTCAGATATCTAGCCGAAAATGGCCATATCAACGCATGACGACCATTTTTGACCTTCCGTGCGTCGTTCCAGCTGCGGCGGCGGCGGCTGGCTGCGGTGGTGGTTGTTGGCGGCAGGTGGGTGGGGATGGTGGCTTGGGTGGGCTACAATTTATTTTGAATTCAAGGGTAATTTTGTCCAAAAAGTTAATTAATTGGGGTGAAATAGTAAAAACCATATTCATGTAAATAAATTTAAAAATAAAGGCAGTATTGTCCTAAAATTTTATTAATAAGGGATATAATTGTAACAAAAAAAGATAACTCTGGTAATTTTAGAATACTTAAGAAAATGGAGGTAAACAGATTATCTCCAATATTACCAATAGTAACCACTATTAGTATTTGAAGATTACCGGTATCTTATATTACTTGACAATCAAACATGGTGATTAAGTAATATAAGATGATTTAACCCAGCAATCCCACATAACCCCTAACCAAATGCCCCCTATATGTTTTGTTTGTTTTCAGTTTTGTCCTATTAAAAAAAGAAAGAGAGAGAGATAGAGAGAGAAAATTCAAGGATTAGTCAATATGTCAGACGATCTATGCCAACGATGTTGTCACCTTCCAACTTATATATGGACATTCTCATGGCGAAGCTTTCCTTCATACCAGGGGTGTAGCCAGAAACTCATTCTAGGGAAGTCAAGACGTTAATTAAACCTAATAATATAATAGTAAATAAACTTATAATAAATAATATATTGGGTATAAGTTATACAAAAATATGAATATTAATTTATAATACTATTCATAATTAATATATTTACGATTGTGTTTGACGATATAGAATAAATTTATAATATATTAAAGAGTGTAAAACAAAACTAAGAAAATTTACTAATGAATAAGTTATTATGCCAACACAAATAACAACAACTCCAAATTAAACTATAAAAAAATTTCTATTAATAAAATATTCAAAGGTTTATTTAGCTTTTATAGTAAAATATTATAACTTTTGTTGTAATTTAACTTTTATGTTTCAACCTCTTAAAATAATGCATCAAAATATATATTTTTGATATTTATCTTTTTTTCCTAACTTCAATATTTTGATATGACCCATCTATGAGTAGTCTAGATGGTTGGAATGAATTGAAGACAGTATGGATATGCACACGATCTCAGATTTGATTCTCTATCTAAGCATCCGCAATTTAAGTGGGAGGGCGTGACGGTGGGTTGTAAGCTAGCTATATATATATATGAATTTTGATAATTTTTCAAAGTCAAGAAGGGTCAACATATGATTGAAGTCATTGAATATTTTTTAATTGATATGAATATTCCGACGTGTAAAAATATCAAGGTTGTTGGTTATCTATTGAAAGGCTATGGTTTAGAATGGTGGAAAGATTGGAAGTTTGATGAATATATGTTCGATAAACTACATCAACTATTATGGTACGAGATAAAATATGCTATAAGGAAACAATTTCTTTCTCGTGAGCATGTTCTAGAATTGTTGTATCAATACGTGAGTTGTCATGAAGGTAATCGATTTGTCCAAGAATATATTGTTGAATATCGACAATTGCTACTTTGCGTTGACAATGGTGAACCATCATATCATGTAGCCATGAGATTCTTTGATGGATTGAATGCCAACATACAAGATCAAATTACTTTACAACGTAACCATACATTGCTTGATGTCCTCAAATTAGTTTTTTAGGTTGAATCACAAGTCAAGAGAATAATAATTCATCATCAAACGCCAACAAAGCTCTCTCCACCTCACCCATGAATAAAGAAGATGATTTGTTACAAGCACCTATGGATGAAGCCAAGAATCAAGACAAGCATAACCTTGAAGCAGAAGAAAATATTGAAATTGAAGAAAAGACAATCGAAGCACTTCCTAAAGAAATTCCTGAATTAAGTGGCGTTGAGATGATACAAATTGAGGATGACAATTTAAAGATAATCGTGCATGAAATTAAACTTGAAGTCGAGGCAAGTTGTCCGAGAAGAAAAGATTGAGCAAGAACAAGTTGTCTTAGAGGAGAAGATTGAGCAAGAAGAGTACATTCAACAAGAAGAACACATTGAAGTTGAGGAACAGGAAGATGAAACATTGAAGACATTCGACTTCGACTTGAAGATTGTGATGCTTGACAATTCTTCATGGAAGATCGATGACAAAGGATATTTCTTTGCTCCACTGGATGACTTACTGCTCCATTTCAATTTTCACCTGCCTAATTACAAAACTCGAGGACGAGTTTATTTTTTGAAAGGGGGAGTTTGATGTTAGACAAATTTTCCTAATTTAGGATTTTAGATTATTTTCTGCTGTTATTTGGTATTCTATTTTTAACTAGGATTTTATGTCTGGAAGTTTAGTTAGTTTATATAAATTGTTTACAATCAATATGTTCAATATGGAATGCTATAATATAAATTTATATCCTAAAAGTTCAAGTTTTATTAATTGACTACTCCTTGAGATAATAAAAAATAAATTCTTAGTTACTGTAACAATTTTTTTTATTAAGAAAAATATATTGTAATAATGTTTTTCAAAGGATGAAAATTGATTCGTGGGACAAGCACCTGCCTCAATTTGTGTGAGGGTAGAGTTGTTTAGGACATTTTTGGTTGCCATGACTTAATGAAATGTGTTGGTTTTGACATTGTTATAGTATTTCCTTATGGAAATAATTGATTTTAGGGGTATTACAAGAGACCTCCCCCAAGGTTTATTAAAGTGTGTAAACTGTTATTTAAATATGTTTGGGTTAATGACAAAAAACCTCCTTAAGTATAATTAACAAACAAAAATTCCCCTTTAGTTATAGTAATAACATAAATTTATCTGTTATTAAGTTTTTTTTTTTTTTTTGTGTGTGTGTTAAAATAAATGATAGATGGACAATTAAATAAATATTGATTAATTGATTATATTATAAATTCTAACATTATATAAACGGTAAGGGGATTTATATTATTTCTAAAATTTCAAAGAGAAGGTTGTTATTTGATTAAATTATTTAAATCTAAGGGTCGAGACATTTTTAAAAATTGAACTAATTGGGTATTTCAATTGGTTTTGCCTGTTGGAATTGGTATTTTCGCAAAGGTTGGATGTGTGTTGGCCGTCTTTTGAGTATATAATGTAAGGGTTTGGTTGACTTTTATTTACCAATATTGAATTGTTTGAGGTGTTGAGCTAATATTTATATACTGTATATTTTTTATTTTTTTGCTGGCTATAATAATTGAGTTTGTATGAAACTCAAAGTGATGGTGGAGATGGAAAACATGAGTTTTTCTTTTGGAGATGATTTTTGTACTGTGGTTGGTATGTTATATTTTTAAAATTAAAATAAAATGTGCAAGGTCCTTGACTCTGTGCGTTTCATTAATAATGCTAGAAATCAAAGAGCACGGTCCTTGACTCTAGACTGATCAAACCGCAATAATCTAACTCATCGATTATATATATATATATATATAGTTTGATTGGCGCTAGGCTTGGAATTAATTGCTCTAAGTGATGCTTCGTTTCTAAATTAGACGAAAATGGCGGTGGAGAACATTGTGAATAGCTTTCATAAAAAAATGAGCTCAGTTCTGGCATGGGCGATAAGCCATGATTTAAATCTAGTGGTATATCAATTAAGCATTCAAAATTTTAGGCTTCATGAAAAAGAATTATACGCAAGTACAAGATCAGTAAATAGATGATGAGAGAACTATATTAAAAAAAAAAAAAAAAAAGGGGAAATGAAGAAGATATTTCTGCGATATGCTAGTATATTTGATTATTTACAGCAAAGTACAATAATATTAGTACAAAGTCTGATCCAGCAACACAACAAACAAAAGGCTATAGCCATACATATATGAGAATTGAGAATCCAATTCTTCTTCACAAATAAAAACCCATTAATACCAGGGTTTATTCTTCGTATTCAACATTAAAACCCAAATCACAGTAGTTTTCACACTCTGCTTGTTATTCGCTGCTACAAATCACTCTGCGTATAATATATATCCCACCACAATCTCCTTGACTTTCTAATGTGGATGATGACGATGGCGATGGTGATGATGTCCTCCACCATGAGTATGACCATGCATTTCGAAATGAGCACCTCCTGGTCCTCCATGCCCATGGTGGAAAAGGCCGCCAAGATGTCCGCCACGGTGGCCATGCCCTCCAAAGTGACCGTGTCCACCATGGTGATGATGTCCATGAGACATAATTATTCCAATGAGTTTTTTCCCATGTCCATGGTGGTGGCGATGTGACTGTACCATTCCCATGAGTTGCTTTCCGCAGTGTCTGCCTCTGTGACGACGGCCATGCCCTCCTCGATGACCAAGCCCATGTCTGCGGAATCGTCCACCACACCCATGATGTCCATGCTCGCCCTGGTGTCCCTCACTGCTAGGTGACTGATGATCCTGGGGTCCCTCGCCCTGAGGTGACTGATGATGATAAACAACAATTTGTCCGTCGTGGGACATTTTTTCTAAGTGTTTATCGTGAAGAGAAATTTTGAATTGAAGATGATGGATGTAGATGAATAAATGAAGAAGAGGAGTGGGGATATTTATAGAGTTTGAAAATAGGAGTCGGTGCCATAACTTGGAGAACAAGGCTAACAGTTTGAGCCACACGTTTTAAGATGAGTGTTCATTTTCACATTCCTTAATCATTAAGTAAGTTTCAAACTTATTGACATTCACACATTAATGAGCACTATCTGTTTCACATGGTAGTGCAACTCTTATGTTTCTTATTCCCCAAGTATGTTTAACTGTTTAATTTGCTCAGCAAAATTTAAGTATATTGTCTGTCGGTTTGTGTCATTTTTTCAGTATGGAATTTTTGTCCTTTATTGTGAATTTTAATAATTATAAATGCTTCTGTCTAATTACGACAATAGGGGTTGTTTGAAATTTATTACATTGCACGTTATAATTCTTTAATTCTTAAAATATTAAAGAGATGAAAGAACGAGATGGAAATAGGTAAATATCTAAGCTGGACTTTTTTTTTTTTTTTTGGAGGATAGAGGAAAGAAAAGAAAATGCTTAATTTAAGAGAAATAGTATACAAAATAATTTTCTATCTGGGTACCTTTCTTTAATTTGTATAATAAACAAGGAATGTCTTAACATTTTATTAGACAAGGGCTAATTTGATAAAAGGTAAATTTTTTTTTTTTTTTTTTTTTCAAAAAATCAGTGGAAGCAACTGCCCCAACATGTCCATTCCTAGCTTCGCCTCCGTATTTCAGACAAGCTCTTTGCGATGAACAAAATAAGTGTTAATCTGAAGGGATTTTATTATTTAAGGCAATGATTAATTTCATATTTTCATTCTTTTCCAAGTTTTTTCAGACAAACAAGTTGAACATGTTTTCATTTTTTGCATTTTCAAATGTGTTTCTAGACAAACATGTGAGACGCATCTTCATTTTTTGTCTTTTCCAATCATTTTAAATGTTTGTTAAAAAATAAAAAAGGGATACACAATATTCATAAAAGAACACATCCTACGCTTCTAAAATTTTGAGAAATTGTAATGGAAATTTTTTATGATTTTCTGAAAGATATGACCAAACTTAAATATGGATGACCATAGGGTAAGTAGGACAAGAATGGCAGTTGAACGGTGTTTGATTTAACATTTGGGAAAAGGTAAACATATAAGACAAGTAAAAAATAAATTATGATTAAACTAATAATAATTTAAGGGCTTAATTTTTTATGCCCCCTATAGGATACCTAAGTATCAAGAGGCACAACAATTATTGTAAACTATTAAAAACACCCTTGCCGTTAAGACGCGGTTGGTTCAGTCAACTCAAAAAGGATTAAATAACCTTATTACCCTTTGGGAAATATCTTATCCGCCCCTAAGCTTTACCAACGAGCCCCTGTAGGTTTGAAAACCTATAAAAATATCCCTGTAAAAGTGTAATGCCCTGCAGGTTTGAAAACCTGCAATCTGGCTCCTGCTATCTGGATTTCTTCCTCTCCTTCGATGAAATCCTAGCACTGCCAATGTTGGCCAGCCATGGCATCAGCAATGTGAAACCACCCATCAATATTTTCTTAAGGCCAATCTCCATATACTAGCAAACAAAGAAAGAAAACCACACATCTTCCTCCTCCATGAAACTTTCTTTTTCTAAACCACTATAACCATCACTTCGAACCATCAAACCTCTCACTTTTAAATTCACGCAAGCAACCTCACAACAAGCGCCACACAGTTGAAGCTTTCATAAAGCCAAGTACACAATCTTAACTCAAATAAAAGACAAATTCAAATCAAAGCAACAGTAACAACCCAACACAAAAGAGAACACAGAATGAAAATGGCAGCCATCAAAGTTTTTGACTAAGGAAGCGGGAGCGTAAAAGTAACATGGCCGAATTTAAGGGTGTAAAACTTGCCCACATTTGGCTGGCGTCTGGCTCTTGCGATGGTGCCTGTGGCCGGACGCAAGAGCCTCAAGCATTAGCTAGATTTGACTAGCCGCGACCGCGAGAGTGTCACGTCGGAGCTTAAGGCCGACACTGGGTGCTCTTGTAGCGGGCCACAAATAAGGTTCACATGGCGGTTTTTGTAGCGTGAGGGAGTGGGAGAAGAGAGAAAGGAAGAAGAGAATGAGAGAGGAGACGGGGGAGGGAAGAAAAAGAAAGATCGAACTTTTTTAACTAAATGTGTTTTGAAAAGATTAAGCTGCGTTTGGTAGGCTTTTTAGAATAGCATTCTATAATAGAATAGTATTTAATGAAATAGGATAGGATTGAGAGAATGTGTTCTGGAAAATATTTAGATTCTTTTTTAACACCCTATATTTGTTAATTTAACTAAAAATCCCCACAATTTTTTTTAAACAAAAACACCCCACCCACCCAACTATTACCGACAATCAGCACCATCGCCGGACAGTGGCTAGAAGTCATTGGAATGGAGCACGACTGGCTGAATCTGGCCAGTCATACGCCGATCTGGCTAGAAATACTAGATCCACAGCTAAAGTTCTAGTCGTCGACAACAACCTTTTCGGGCCAGATCCATGGTGGATTTGGTCAGAAATGGACAAATCGACGCAGAAACGGCCAAATCTAGTTGATAGTGCGTCATTACGGTGCCGGCATCCGACAATGGTTGGCGGTAGCAGTGGTAGTGGCTGTTGGCGTGTGACAGTGGCTTGGGTGGGTGTGGGTATTTTTGTTAATTTATAAACTTTTATTGAGAAAAGTAATTGTTAAATGTTTTGAGTTAAATAGAATATGATTGAATTTTGAGTTGAATAGAAAAGTTAATTATTTCATTGGATTGGATAGGAAAGTGAAAAAAAAAGCCTACCAGACACGACCTAAACTACCCTTTCTCGGTTAAATTTAACAAAATTTTGATTAACAGCATGCATGTATGTGATACTTTTCATATGTGAAACTTTTTTAAAATAGTTGTCCTTATAGGTATCAACCAAGCCAAGACAAGTTGCTCATGAGGGGCTTGGGCTCAACTTGAGCTCAAGCGACTCAACCATTGAGTCGAGCCGAGTTCAAGTTCCCCGATAGTTGGCTCGACCAGCTCGTGAGCTTTAGTGAGCTCAAGGGTATAAATGATAGTTTTGCAACTAATAGGGGGTATATGTAATTTATCAGCTAATAAATATGACAAACACACCCCTATTCCCAAATATGTTAAAAATTGAATTCCAATTAAAAAAAGCCAAATATCTATGGCATCGTACTTCTTTCTCGGTTCTACCTGAGTCCTCTTCAATTGCTTAATTACAAGGGGGTTGTTGTTACTTGAATCTTTGCCCAAGTCTTCTTCAATTGCTTAATTACTTCATTATCTTCTTCCGCACCTGGGATTCATTTGGCCTCGGTCTCAGCCGTTGGGTCCAGTCGATGGTTGTTTTCGGCGATGTTATGACTATAGTTTTTGTTCCGTCTGAGTGGTGAATGAGCGAGTCTCACTAAATGGGGTTCTTGAAAGCATATGATTTTCCACAGAAGTTTCAATCTTGGTGAGTTTTTTCAACTTTTGTTTACAAAATATGGGTTGGTTACGATGAGGCTAATGCGACAACTCATTGGCGTTGATTTTTGTGTCATTAGACAGGGGTGCCAAGATAGGTTGAAGAACTTCTTGATTTTCCTCAAAAAATATGATTTTGAAGCAAAAATGACATCTTTCAATGATTCAGGACTGGATCTAGCAAGCAAAAGCTTGAGCTCAAGCTAGCTTTATCCATGTTGAGTTCGAGCTTGAGCTCGACATCTCAAGCTCGACTGAGCTTGAGTTCGAGCTCAAGCTTGACACTGTAGGAGCCTAGTCGAGTTTGAATAGCCAAAACTCAACTCGGCTCGACTCGTTTATATGTCTAACTATGCCGCTTGATAGTTAGGTTTCACATAGGGGAAAATGAAATTAAGTTGCAGCCTAATTTAAAAAAGTAAGAACTACAAAATAAAAATTAGAAAAGCCCAAAACAATGAAAATAAAAAGGGCGACCATCGAGCATGCCACTTACAAGGCCACTTGCCACATTATGGCGTGGTCTGGCTTAGCTAGACCAAGGCGAGGCCAAGTTGTTGCACCTTGCGTGGCTAGAAACTTAGGCAGACCACATATCAGATGTTGGCTAACAAAGTCAACCAAGTCATGGTTGGCTATTGTGTTACAGGTTACAGCCCACTTGTAACTGATCACCTATTTTTATTTTTTTTTTCAACTATTTTATTTTGTTTAATTCTCTTGCTTTTTATTTTTATTTTATTTTAATATTTTGTAGGTTTTTTAAATTTTGATGGTTTCTTAATTTTATTATTTTTGGTTTACTAAAATTTTAATAATTATTTTTTCTTTAACTTTTTAAATATTTTTTCTAATAAAAAATAATTTGTGGTTTTTTTTTTTATTATTATCATTATTGTAGGGTAGAACTTGTATTATTTTTTAGTCTTGTATGGCACATCTTTATTAGGTGACTGTGTGTGCATCGGATGCACAAAGAGTAACGACATATTCTCACTCGAGGTTTGGCGAAATCCCAAGTTGGTACTCGTGGTTGCATTTATTTTAGATTCTCACCCTTAAAGTGATGGAAAATTGTTTGGTATTACGATAAAGGGGTAAACAGGTCATTTTGCAAGAGGCGACACACGTTAGCAGATCGTCGCCTCTAATAATGCTCCGACGCACGTTAGCAGACGTCACCCCTGATGTTTTTCACCATTTTCCAGCGATTCTTCCACCTAAAATCATCTTTGTCACACCATTTGAATCCCCATCCTCCCCTCTACAAAACCTTACCCTTCAAAACCCCTCATCACTCGTCGATCGTCGGCCACGACAACTGTGACATGCGACTCTTTTTTGTCGATTTTTAGCCGTTTTGAGCGGCAACAATCCCAATCACCACCACCGTTTGATTCCTCACATTCCCCTTACAAAACCCCTAACCTTCTCGACCACAACAACTCAC